TGCTCATCAGCCATTTAAATGTAAAGCAGCAAGCTCATTGGCTGCGTATGCAACATGAACCAATCAGCTTGTGACAAGTCCTTTAATGCTAAGAATATCGTCAATTAAGTAAAGGGCCCATCAGCCTGCGCCATCTAGACTTTCATGACAGAACTTGGTATATATATTTCTGTGATGGATTTTCAGCAGCTCCAGTCTGATCATGTGATCATGTCGCATGACCAGAAATCATTCTAATATGCTGATATTCTGATTTGGTGACATTTCTTATTATCCTATTTAAAAAAAATAGTAATATTTTGAAATATTATTACAATTAAAATTTTTTTTATAAAAAATAACTGTTTGTTTTATATGTTGGCAATGGTTGTGGTGCCTTTTTTTTAAAAGTGTAAACCATATTTTTTTTCAGGAATCTTTGAATAAAACAAAGAGCCTTTATCTGAAATAGAAATCTTTCATATCATAGATGTTCTTACTAGGGGTCAACCGATATGTGTTTTTCAGGGTTGATGCCGATACCAGTTATTACAGATCAAGTAGACCGATAACTGATATTTTGAACCGATATATGTCTGGTGTAAAATTAAAATGAATGTCAAAATTAAGAATTACAAGGGCTCTGACAAAAACGTTCTTTAAATGCTTTTAAATTATTTTATCGGCAAATCGGTTTTAAAAATGACCGATACCGATAACCATAAAAAAAGCTTAAAATCGGTGCCGATAATCGGTCAACCCCTTTTTCTTACTACTACTTTTGATCACTTATTAAAAAAAAATCTTACCACAAACATTTGAATGAGAGTGCATCTCGGTTTCCACAAAAATATTATGCTCAACTGTTTTCAACATATATTTCAACAAAACACTTCCTTTAAATTTTAATAATACTGATTATGATACATTATTACGATACAGTACAATATTACTGTTTTTACTGTATTTTTGATCAAATAAATGCAGTGAGTATAAGAGACTATTCTCTTATGGAAAAAAGTATTGCCACTGACAGTGACGAGAGAGAGAGAGAAAGCAACAGGAAAAGAGAAAGGGGAACAGGATTGGGAAAGGACCTCCAAGCCGGGACTCAAACTTGGGTCACCCGAGGCATTGCTGCCCACAAGGTTATGGTTTCGACTTACTTTCTAATGGAAAACTGATTGAGAAAATTATTTTTGCAGTGTATATTAGGGTTTGTCCTTGCTTGACTTACGTTTCCTCATTAAAGAAGCTCAGAGAACACAGCCCTCAATACAATTCTCATCTGAGCCTCGTGAGTGTATGTGCACGCACCGTCGCTGACATACTTCCGCATGCATTAGAGAGATGAGCGTGAAAAACACATCATCATGTCTCGTGGATTTGTTTTCTGTTTGGTATGAATGACAAATGAGAATTACAGCGGATGAATGGAGCGGGTAACGTTGGGCTCAGATGGGAGGACAGCGTGCCAATGGCAGCTGTTGCATTGAAAAGCTCTTACATAAGATCGTCAGAATAACAGCTTGTCGTGAATCGAAGGAGGGGGAACAGTTGTGGATTACTAAAGCACTAACACACCCACGGGGACCCTCAGTGTTCAGATGTCTCCCATCATCCTTCACTGGCTACGTTCACACAGCAGCAGAATACAGTTGTCAGTCCAGTTTGGACTGCTAAATATTACTGTGTTTATACACAGTTTGGTTTTAAAAGAGACTGACAACAAGTGACTCTCAAATAAGCCTGTCAAAGTAATTGTTTAAAAACTACTAATTTTAATTTTAAAATGAATTAAGTAAATAAATGATTTAAATACATTGTTTATGAACATGTTACTCCACATTTGCCCAAATATGCTGTATAATGCTAATGCGATTCAAATAATGCTATACATTATGTGGAAAAAGGGTTCAAATATAAACATTACTTAACATTTAGAGATGTTGAAATGACTAAATTAGAAATTATAATACAAACAAAAGCAGTTTAAATTTAAAATAATGGTTTTCCATTTTAATATACTTTAAAATATAATTTATTTCTCTGAATTTTCAGCATCATTGCTCTAGTCTTCCATCACATGATCCTTCAGAAAAATAGGAATCTTTTGTAACAGTATAGCCTAAAGCCCCGTTCACGTTAAGAACGATAACTATAAAGATAACAATAAAGATATAGTTCTAAATATCGTTCTCAATATAAAAGAATAGCAGAGTCCATACCACAAATATAACGATAAAGACAAAAAAAAACGATATCGTTGGAATCACTTTCAAAACGATTTTTCTCCAGCTGATGAACGATAAAAAATTGACAGCCAATCAGAATCCATCCTGCTGTAACGAGCAGGAGAATTTAAAGCGGCAGACGCATGTGCGCTTAGAATAAACAGACGATATCGTTCGCTGGTGTGGACGCTAATATCGTTATCTTTATAGTTATCGTCTTTAGGCTGAAGTCTTTACTATCACTTTTGATCAATTTAACACATCCAACCCAAAAAAAGTACTGACCCTAAACTTTTGAAACAGTAATGTATATTGTTTAAATAAATGCTGTACTTTTTAACTTTTTATTAATCAAAGAATCCTGAAAAAAGTATCAAAGAAAAAAAAATCAGTGATTTCCGAAAGATCACCTGACACTGAAGACTGGAGTAATGGCTGATGAAAATTCAGCTTTGCATCACAGAAATAAATTCTATTTTTAAGCATGTTCAAATAGAAATCCGTGATTTTAAATTGCAATAATATTTCACAATATTAGTGTTTTTTTTCTATTTTTGGTTAAATAAATGCAGCCTTGATGAGCCTAAGAGACTTCTTTAAAAAAAAAAAACATTCAAAATTTTACTGATCCCAAACTTTTGAACAGCAGTGTACACATTCACTCATCTGAACATAGCAGTTACATTTGTACTCCATTCACATAAGTCTTTACAGTGACTGCTCTCATGAATGTACAATTACTTGTGTTACATGTAGAATTTTAAACCTGCGTTCATTGTCTAAAAATAAATATTTTACCAAAATGCATTTTTTTACTCAAAAAAACATTTAATAATTCGTTTTGTACAAAGAAATGCATTATTCATCATTGTGAAATGACATGACAGGTAGACTGGCAGACACAGACTAGCAAATTTGTTGTTCGATTATTTTAATTATCGTTTGTTATCAATTAGTAGTTGCAGCCCTATGCTTAACCTGGACGCACAACTGAATTTTGAGAGCATGTTTGATTCATATGGACTGTATCAACAGCAATGCCGTGGACAGCTAGTTATCTGTTGCCTGACGTAAGCACTTAGTGGGATTTTTTGTTGTTGTTGCTGTCAATCACTCTCAAGGTGAAAAATGACGGAAAATAGCAGATAAGTGTGGTCGGAAAGCAACACCAAACACCTGTTAAATGTCTTCGGTTGGAAAATCCAAATTGGGTGGATTTAGAGAGTTTTGACCAAATATCAGAGAGAATAAAAGCAGCAGGAGTTACTGGAAAAACAATTGAATAAAATTTCAATCCTTAAAGACACAATACAAAGTGCTGCGCAGTAGAGCTCAATGATACTGGAAAAACCTGACATTGTGATTTTTTTATTTTAAGATATATTTCTACATGAGGAAATGTTCACCAAGTGACTTGATTAGCTGTATTTGAAATAATCAGGTATACTTTGGTATACTCTTTATAAGAACAAGACCTAAACATCTTTGAGTAACCAAAAGGTATTAGACATTTTTCTTCTCCAGTTAAAAAATAAATAAATTAACGTGTTTTTTTTATAGGCCACATTTCCACTGTTATTGACCAATTCAGACTGACTATAAAATAATGGATTTCTTTATTGTCATCATTATTTAAAAAAATGCAATAATACTGTACTATTATTGTAAAATAAGGGTAGCCAATTTAATAAAAATAATACAATTTTAATTTATAGTATGACTGTAAAATTAGAATACTAGTATTTACATTTTAATTTCTTTATTTTCAAACATTAGATTATCCAGCTTCAATTTTTGGATTTACAAACAAATAAATACATGCACTGCTGGTCTTAAAGTGAAACGTGTCGCTGCCTTTTCAGTGTCTCAGTTCATGAGTGTTCAGATGTTTTTTAATAGCATCTCCAAAACTTTGGTGTTGATTGATTTCTGTGAATCAGTTCAAACTGTCATTGTCACTGAATTGACTGAAAATTCTGATTCATCAGTTTGTCTGAATCATCCCAGGTGTGTTCAAGTATTAAACATTTTTATTTGAATTGGCTACAATGGCTTTCTTGTCAAAATGATGGTTCCTCAAGGGGGAAAATAACATTTTAGACACTGAGCTATATATTGAATATCATCAAAAGGCACAAAAATATTGTATGTTTTTTAAGCTACATTGTCCAGCCCTACTGTCCATACAGGTGTAATGCGATCCACAGTGTATGTAGTCCAGGGTAATTTGGGAGTCACACCTGTTGATAAATATGGTTGTCAGTCCCAAACACCGCCTGTTCCAGCACTGGGAGAAGCTTTTATTCCTGATTTGAGACGTCACGCCCCAGACAGAGAAGTTTCAGATGGGATTAGCATTGTAAAGTAGTCAGTTAATGTTCCGGGGTCATCAAAAGGCACAAAAATATTGTATGTTTTTTAAGCTACATTGTCCAGCCCTACTGTCCATACAGGTGTAATGCGATCCACAGTGTATGTAGTCCAGGGTAATTTGGGAGTCACACCTGTTGATAAATATGGTTGTCAGTCCCAAACACCGCCTGTTCCAGCACTGGGAGAAGCTTTTATTCCTGATTTGAGACGTCACGCCCCAGACAGAGAAGTTTCAGATGGGATTAGCATTGTAAAGTAGTCAGTTAATGTTCCGATCAGATCACCATTTAAAATACTTCACAGATTCATAATAATCGTCCTCCCTGCCGTGACATACATGCCATGTGAAGCATTTGAGAATGTTTGTCTGTGAGTGTGTGCTAAGTCTCATGTGTTTGTCCTTGTCTTGCTCAGCAGATGCCGGCTCAGTACGGGCCACAAGGAATGGGCGGCTACTCTCAACAGGGTCAGCCCCCATACTTCAGTCCTCCACAGCAGCAGTCTGCGGCCCCCTCTCAACCCCCCTACATGCAGCAGCGTGCTCCAACACAACAGGTAAGATTTAGCTGCTAAATGAATACTAAAGGCTACTAAAGGGTCCTTGTCCTCATCTGAAGACCCTCAAAAGTATATATACCTACCAGAGTTTCAGTTAATTTTTTTGCTGCGCGAAATATATATATATATATATAACGAATAAATAGGCTTATACGATAAATATAGCTTTACTTAAATAAAAAATTAAGAAAATGAAAGAAAAACTGTAGCAAGTAGCCTATATGCAGAGTTTCGGTTCATTTTTGTGCTGCGCGAAAGGAAACAGACGACAGAAAGCTGCATCCTATTTTTCTTTAGGCTTATTTTACAAAAGCACAAAGATTTGTTTTTATTGTGAATGTACACAAATAAAGGCAAACCTTTTACAATTCCGATTATCTTTAGGACTAAAAGGAGTTGTTGTTTCCACTGTTAGAAGGAAAAAATTCAAATGATTGCACCGGCACCACATGCACGCACACAGTTAAGCAAAATAACATTTTAGACACTGAGCTATATATTGAATATCATCAAAAGGCACAAAAATATTGTATGTTTTTTAAGCTACATTGTCCAGCCCTACTGTCCATACAGGTGTAATGCGATCCACAGTGTATGTAGTCCAGGGTAATTTGGGAGTCACACCTGTTGATAAATATGGTTGTCAGTCCCAAACACCGCCTGTTCCAGCACTGGGAGAAGCTTTTATTCCTGATTTGAGACGTCACGCCCCAGACAGAGAAGTTTCAGATGGGATTAGCATTGTAAAGTAGTCAGTTAATGTTCCGATCAGATCACCATTTAAAATACTTCACAGATTCATAATAATCGTCCTCCCTGCCGTGACATACATGCCATGTGAAGCATTTGAGAATGTTTGTCTGTGAGTGTGTGCTAAGTCTCATGTGTTTGTCCTTGTCTTGCTCAGCAGATGCCGGCTCAGTACGGGCCACAAGGAATGGGCGGCTACTCTCAACAGGGTCAGCCCCCATACTTCAGTCCTCCACAGCAGCAGTCTGCGGCCCCCTCTCAACCCCCCTACATGCAGCAGCGTGCTCCAACACAACAGGTAAGATTTAGCTGCTAAATGAATACTAAAGGCTACTAAAGGGTCCTTGTCCTCATCTGAAGACCCTCAAAAGTATATATACCTACCAGAGTTTCAGTTAATTTTTTTGCTGCGCGAAATATATATATATATATATAACGAATAAATAGGCTTATACGATAAATATAGCTTTACTTAAATAAAAAATTAAGAAAATGAAAGAAAAACTGTAGCAAGTAGCCTATATGCAGAGTTTCGGTTCATTTTTGTGCTGCGCGAAAGGAAACAGACGACAGAAAGCTGCATCCTATTTTTCTTTAGGCTTATTTTACAAAAGCACAAAGATTTGTTTTTATTGTGAATGTACACAAATAAAGGCAAACCTTTTACAATTCCGATTATCTTTAGGACTAAAAGGAGTTGTTGTTTCCACTGTTAGAAGGAAAAAATTCAAATGATTGCACCGGCACCACATGCACGCACACAGTTAAGCTTTGCTACCTTGACAATGCAGCCTGTTCATTATCATAATCAAATACAGTCAGTCAAACATATGGGAACAAAATTAATATGTAGTAAACTCTGTGCCGTTAAGTGTTATCACCGTACCGCCGTGATGTTATGCAAAACATTTTGTTTTACATGGAAATTAGAACGTGAGTGAAGTACATAATAAATTATAATTTGCCATTCAAATACTTCGCGAATACGTAAACATTTGATTTTGTGTGGAATGAGAGACCCAACGTTGGTTTCAGTTTCGTTTTAACCTAAATTAATTCGTTTTTGCTTGTCGTTTATATAGCTATAGCTTCTTATATTTTTAATTCTTGTTCTTTTCTAAATACTGTTAATTGAAAAGATTTGTTGTGGAGTGAGGGGAACTAAAATAAAACATTTTGTTTTACATGGAAATTAGAACGTGAGTGAAGTACATAATAAATTATAATTTGCCATTCAAATACTTCGCGAATACGTAAACATTTGATTTTGTGTGGAATGAGAGACCCAACGTTGGTTTCAGTTTCGTTTTAACCTAAATTAATTCGTTTTTGCTTGTCGTTAATATTGCTATAGCTTCTTATATTTTTAATTCTTGTTCTTTTCTAAATACTGTAAATTGAAAGGCTTTGTTGTGGAGTGAGGGGAACTAAAATAGCCTAGCTATGTTTACAGTGTTTATTATAACATTTCGCGTCGGCATTAGGCCTATTTCTGAATGAAATAATAAAATGTGACATACGTGACTTGTCTTTTTTTCTCTAAAAAAAAACACAATTTATTTATACGCGTAGCGTGTTTTAACCATGAAGCAAATCTTTTTAAATATTTTGATAAATTACTTAAAAAAATAAATAAATAAATGACTTTTTAAACCGTTTAACTGATTGTATTAATCGGCCAAAATTCTATAGGGTCGGTTAACGGTTAACCGGTTAAAATGAACATCCCTAATATATATATATATATATATATATATTAAATTAAAATGTATAAATATAAATTATATTATATTAAAAATTTAGAACATTTAACATTCAAGAAAGTTAAACCTATCTTTTAGGACCATTACGTGGTTTTGCATTTTGGCATTATTTTCATGACAATTCATTTTACAAACATACAAATTCTCATTAATGTGAAAAAACAACAACATTATTATTATTTTTTAAATGAATACCAACATAAGGGCAGTACAACCCTTACTACTATATAAATATAAATGTAAAAATGTTTTTGTAATGTATAATGAGGATGCAATTTTTCATCATTGTGACAAGAATGAGATTTTTCTGCATTAAAGAGGTCATATGATGCTTTTTTAAAGATCATTATTTTGTGTATTTGGTGTAACAGAATATGTTGACATGCTTTAATGTTCAAAAAACACATTATTTTTCAAATACTGTACATTATTGTAGGTCCTCTATGCCCCGCCTCTCTCAAACGCTTCGTTTTCTACAAAGTCCCTCCTTCCGACAGGAAACTTTGTGCTATTTCAGATTTTCAATACACTCCATTCTGTGTGATTTATAAGCGTTTTGAAAAGTGGGGACATGGGGTAATGTCCTGAAAAGTCACCTTCTCCTTGTCATACCTTTGTCATTATACAAATGTATGTCCTCATTTGTCACAAAAACATGCACACACACACACACACACACACACACA